AGCAAGATGGTGCCACAGACTCTGTTCCTCATGTCCCTGTTGCTCTGGGCCTCTGGTGAGAAACTAAAAGTGCTTCAATCCTTCTAGAGTAGTATCTTTGTAGAGCTGAAAAAAATGATTTTAAAACATAGTTGGAAATGATGGTTATTTCCAAAATGGAACCAATTATGTACAGGTATCACTCGATGCTGCTATATAAATGGTATCATTGAACATGCCTATGAAAAGGCGTGTGTATATATATATGAATGGTTAATTGTCTACTCTGATTGCAGGTGCCAGTGGGGACATTGTGCTGACCCAGTCTCCAGCCTCTCTGGCTGCGTCTCCAGGAGAAAGGGTCACCATCAACTGCAAGTCCAGTCAGAGTGTGAGCAACTACTTAGCCTGGTACCAGCAGAAACCAGGACAGGCTCCTAAGCTGCTCATCTACTATGCATCTAACAGGGCATCTGGGGTCCCTGACCAGTTCAGTGGCAGTGGGTCTGGGACAGACTTCACTCTCACCATCAGCAGCCTCCAGGCTGAAGATACCGCTGTTTATTATTGTCAGCAGTATAGTAGCTATGAACCCACAGTGCTTCATCCTCGAACACAAACCTCCCCAGGGCTGCAGGCCAGTGAGTCTTCACTACGCCAGCTGCTTCCTTTCTGCTTAGCCCTGAACATGCACACTTCCTCTGTCTGTCCCAAAGTCTGCATCTCTTTACTAATTCCTTGGAGTATTTGCAGGATCCAGGAGAAAATTAAGGGATGTGGCTTCTTCTGGAGCTCCTTTCATGGTAAAGTGTAGAAGAAAAATTCTGTAGAAATGTATTATAAACTTTGTTAGGAATTTTGATATCACAGGAACCTGTATGTTTCACATGGATAGATCACATAACTGATTTGGGGAAGGTTCCCCTGTGTTATACACCTGGAAAGATCAGTTCTCTCGTCCCTTGTTTTTTTGGACTTTTCCTTTCTCTGCAGTTACCCCTCACAACTCTGAACCTAACCCAATATTAAACCTGGCCCTTCATATTTAAAATCTCCCTCACAGAAGGCAGTATTCCTGTCTTTTGCCTTCCATGGACCCTGTTTTCCAGCCAAGCCTTCCTGGTCAATGTCACTGAAGGAGTTTCCCACTCTACCTCCCATTTTACTGCCCTTTTCTCTTCTCTCCATTTCTTTCAGTGGCACCCATTCTCACAAAGGCCAGTCTCTACTTCATTAACCCTATCGCTCTAGATATATGTGACAGCTTTTCCATGTTCTTTTTTAGTTAGTTGTCAGTTTCCTCTTTAAATTTATCCCTTGGGCACCAAAGTTTAATTTAGTGACTGAAGGAAATCGTGGTTCTTCCTTGTTGTTAGCTGCTATCTTTTGGGTACCTGACTCATGCCAACCCCATGCACAATGGGATCTGACTGTTGTGATCTATAGGGGTTTCATTGGATGATTTTTGTAGATCACCAGGCCTTTCTTTCCAGTCTTTATTAGTCTGAAAGTGCTGCTGAAACCTATTCAGCATCACAACAACACAGACAGAGGAAGTGTGGTAAATGAGGCCAGTGGGTCCCTGCTCTGGTTTATGCTGATGCCAGCCCAGGTAGTATTTCCTGTCAGTGTAGATGAGACTCTGACTGGCCCTTCTGCTAATGGAGGCTTTCTCTCCTGGGAGTCAGCCAGAGAATCTGGTACCTACTCAGAAGGTTCTGCCTGCTGAAACCCAAAATGACAGGCACACGAGGATGATCCAGAGATGCTGTGCAATCAGGGATAGCAGGAAAATCAAACCAAAATGGTCTCTAACTAGAACAAGAGGACAGGGCTGCGTGGCTTGTAGTTTTTATTTCAGAACTCATTTGAACCTGTAGATGTGCTGAATAGGAGGATCACTCTGGAGAGAAAGCTCCATCTCTAGGTTCCATCTCACCTAGAACACAGAAGAGCAGGAGCTTGAGCAACTGGATGGTGCCCCTGCCCTGTAGCTTCTCTTTTGTATGATGTTGCACAGACTCCATCCCCAAGGAAAGGCTCCTTCATAGCTTTATTTTTTCAATTTTTTATTTTGTTGTTGTTATTGATGACATACTCAACAAAACATAAACACCGATTCAACAGTTTCTATCCATCATAGCTTTTTGTGAGGCTCAGGTCAGCAAGGCTGAGCTCAGGGTGGGGTGTTGGTGAGGGGACATTTATGCTAAGAACCATGGAGTATAACAGTGAAATTCTTAGAGCACAGGGTTGTGGTTAAAAATCTTGTAATCTGCACTTTTCTTACTCTTCTTACTTGTTGAATATGGCAGTACTGTTTGAATATGGCAAACACTATTTTCGTGGATTCTCTGATGGAAATAGTTATATTTTAGTTTCCCTGTTATAGTTGTTGAAGGTCCCTGGGTGGTGCAAACAGTTTACACTTGGCTACTAACCTATAGGCTGACTGTTTGAACCCACCCAGTGGTGCTGCAGAAGAAAGGCCTAGAGATCTTCTTCCATGAAGATTACAGCCCAGAAAACCCTACGGAACACACTTCTGCTCTGTAACACATGTAGTTACCAAGAGCTGGAATCAAAGCAGTGGCAGTGGGTTTAGTTTTGGTTGGTTACAGATTCTAGGAATGGAAATATATTCTTCAAGAGCACTTATTGAAATTATTCATCTGGAAATTGTACAAATGCTCCATTCACAGAGAAAAAAATGTTTGCAAACAGAATGGCATCAGCAGAGTCCTCCAATATCCAATGTCTGTGTCTGGTATCCATGGGTGGTAGAGCCAGTAGGACCATCCACTGTGCATTTGTGCTGGTGGTGGTGTTATACACAATTTCTTTCTCTCGTTTGTCCTGCACTGGGTTTCTGCCAGCTGTTTTCCTATACATTTTCTACACTATGTTCCCTAGAATTTCCATCATATCTACACGTCACCAGAGAATCATTTTATTTTCTGCTTAGGTTAAACTCAGTTTTTGTTGTTTGTAACCAAAAGCTCTGACTGATAAAAAATATTCTTCATAGATGACAGTGTGAAATCTTCATCAAAGTTTCTTTCCCTCGAATATTTATGATTATAGTAAACATTTAACATTCTTAATTGTTGGTGTTCCAAAAGAAATTTCATTAGTATACAATAATAAATTTATGCTGTATTTGTAATTTTATGTTATATTTGTAAGTGACCTTGACAGAACTGATGTTTTCATTTTTTTTAATCTTTTCATGATGTGTTTGTTAAACAAATATTAATTCAGAATCTAGTGCATGAGGTACTCCTCTGGCCATTAGTGTTATATTAATAGTGTTAACAAACTTAAGATTGTGCCTTGCTCTTAAGATTGTAAGTGGAACGGATGCATTGATTAAGGAAGGCCACAAAAAATGCTAAATTAGAGGTAGAATATGTGTGTATAAGATTAGTCAGGAAAGACCCTCTAAGAGTCTTTTGTGTTTATCTTGCACATAATGGAAGGATTTGGAAGATTTTGCAGGCAGATACCATGATCAAATTTGATTTTTAAAAAAATCACCCTGGGAGTTCCAGCAAAATGGCTCTCTAGGCAGAAGCACCATGCCATCCCTCCACAGCAAAGATCTGAAAAAATTAGCCGAACAGAGAATACAACAATCCTGAAACCTTAAAATATCAAACGAAGAGATAAAGAACTCAGCCAAGCACCAAATGGAGTGAGAAAACTGACAGTGAATGGAGAGCAACGATTCATGCAGAGGTCCCCTACCAGCTAACGCAGTGCAAATCTGCCATCTTGGACTCCTATCGGAGACCAGCAAACAGGGGGTATGAGAAAGCAGCCTCACGGAGCGTCCAGTGGGAGACAAAACAACTGGTAATTCGTGATATACGCCTGCCCACCCCCCACCATTCTTCACCCCAACTTGGCCTCCTGTATTTCCCGCAGCCACAATCTCTTGACCGGGAAACACCGGCTGTTTGGATTCCACACACCCGAACAGGTTGCTCTCTGAGGGCAATTTGTTGGCTGCTGGTGTTGCTTTTTTCCACTTCTTTTGATTTCTTCCTTGCCTCTCCCCACCTTCCCCTCCTTTTGCTCGAGTACCTGGCTCCGTGCACCATCTTTGCTTCTTCCTGAGGGGCTGTGGACCTCTGTTCGAGTATTGAGCTGCTTCCCAGTCAGGGCTGCTGCACTAGTGGGATCCTGGGGCTTTTGTTCATTTGTTTGTTTTGAATTGTTTGTTTGTATTCTTTTCCTTTTCTTGAGTTGGGAGCCCTTTCTGGCCAGGCAGAGCTGCGTGGCAAGGAGACTCCCCTTCGGCTTCCACAGACTTGCAGAGGGATCCCTGAGGGCATTTCTTTTTTGAAGGTTTTTTTTTTTTTTCTGTTTTTTTGGGGGCTTTCTTGTTCTTTTTTTTTATTTATTTCGTTTTCTTTTCCCTCTTTTTCCATTTTTATCTTCTTCACTGCTCAGTTCCTCGTCTCTCTATCTTCCTTCTATTTCTGATCCCTGAATACCTGGCATTGTATAACTCTACGCCTTCTAGCCAGGCTACTGCAACACCTGAAAGCGACTTCCCCAGACCGCATAGATGCACCGGTGGGATCCCTGGGAACTTTGCAGTTCTTTAACCTTTCTGATTTTTATTTATTCATTCTTTTCTTTTCTTCCTCTTCCCCTTTCTGTTTTTCTCCATTTCTTAGTCTCTCATCTCTCCACTCCAACGGGAAGCTCCCCTAGCATTCTTTTTCCTTTGTATGTTTTTGGCTCCTGTTCCTCACTCTTCTCTCCCATATCCATCTTAGCTCCACACATAACAATCTCCCAGCTGCATTCTGCCTACCTGCACTGGGTGCCTGAAATCCCACCACCAAGCAGCACAGGCACGGCCTACTGAAACCTGCCCTGCACTGATTACTGACCCGCTCTGGTGGCTGTACCAAGTGCCACAAACAACCTGTTCCAGTAACTCCTCTTCAGCTAGACCTGCCCTGCCATACCACATCTGAGAGACTGACCCTGCCAGTTGGAGAAGGAGGCAAAAAGTATTGTTCCTACAGACGAGCAAACAACAAAGAACACACAGTCTGCCTGCTCAGACATAGTCATTTTTTTTTTTTAAAAAGGGACAAAACAAACAAATTTACAATCAATAAATGAGAAAAATAACTCCTGAATGCCCTGAAGACAGCAGA